GTACCGGTAATAAACTGGGCTTCTTGCTATTCTCTCCTGTAAATCCACCAAAGTTATTTGGTGAATTTGTGTGGGAGTAGGTATTGCCAATTAATAATAAGTGCTTATCTACATGTCCATTTCTAGAATTCTCTGCAGGGCACTTAAACAACCTGTACAAGATTTTGACCTTTCCAGTCCCTCATTACTATTAGCTATAATATGCTCCTAACTTGCTAGATTGAGGGTATGTTGAAAAATAGTGTAAAAGCTATACTTCTCAGCCTTCTCATTTTCAGATAGAGCATAGTATATATTTGAAACTTTCTTTTTTTTAACAGAAGTTCCTCTCAGAATTAATGAGGTCACAGCCTCCCAATTCAGTTGAGAACTACATTTAGTAAATTCTGGCATGATCTTCATTTCTTTGATCTTTACAGACTGCTTTTTCCCCCCTATCAACTCAGGGAGACGAAACATGGATAGTAATATAAAAGCAAGAGGCAAATAACATTTACAGAATTGTAGATATCTTATATGGAAACCAAGACATAAAATAAAGAAATATCATATGAGAGGATACTCATTTTTAACATGACACTACTTAAACTGAAAAACTGGAGGTTTTATTTGAATATTTGATAAGAATGGTTAACACTACAAAAGTAAAGCAAGTGCAGTGAAGCCTTGCTGAGAGACCACTCCTCCAATTTACAACTCTTCTTGAAACAGTGTAATCCTTACATTAAATATAAATTGTACCCCTGTTAACACACCACCCCTCTCACTGAACACTGACTCTTTATGAGCAATTTTCATAATTTACCCCATTTAAGAGATTGCTTTCAGGACTTTTGTAATAAACTTCATCAAATATTCTGTAGTTAAAATGAAAATTTACATTGTATACAGCTACACACCTCGAGGAAATCATGTATCAATATACCAAGGCAACTGAGATGGAACAACAGTTACTCACTCCATTTCGGTTTCTGTTCTTCTGTGTCAGCAGTTATGAAGTGACCTAATGTTTACTAACCTTGCCTTGCCTTGCCTTGCCTTGCCTTGCCTTGCCTTGCCTTGCCTTATCTTCCTGGAAGAACATCTTGTAGAGTAGAATATCAATGTCAGAAGTCATGGCTATCAACTTGCCCCCTAGCATGAGAGTATTTTAATTGCGACCGAAATCTGTATTCAGTCCTCACCCAACCTCGACCATTTAATTGATTGATCAATTGATAGTGCGTGCGAATGTATGTGTGTACATGCGACAGAGTTTTTGGACTCCTAATATAAAGAGTTTATTTTTAAACAGGGGAAGATATTTTTAAAAAAATTATTTAAAGATATATGTCTAAAAAGGAATTTATAACATCTGCAACAACGCAAACTTTATCAAAATGTTTAATTTTTCATAATTCGTGCACTTGCTATATTAAAAGCTGTTAAATATGTTCATTAGAATAAAATAGGCACTTTCCTAAAATTATTAGTATCAAGAATTTCCAACGTTTAGGATAAATAAACGTTTCTTAAAAAAGTTATTTCCCCCTATTAAGCAATATTTACAATCTCCCAACCCTCTGAAAGACATCTTCATTGACCAACAGTAGTCGCTTAAAACAGCATCCACTGTATTTGAGACTGACTCAAGGAGTAAGAATAAAATTCTCTCAGTATGCAAGCAAAAACTGTGGAAGGGAGAAAAATAAACTTAGATAATTGGCAAAAGCACAACAAGTAGAAACTGCATGAAGGACCCAACAAAGTCCTGAAACAGCACTTCTAAAAGGGTAGGTTTCTCAAGGATAGATGCTTTAAAATAAGACCTAAGAACATACTGAATAACAAATGAAACTTGCTGTGGCTCATTTAAACATGTTCAGGCTGCTGCTGAAATGATTTTATGAGTTGTCAGGTGTCCCACAAAAAATCTTTGGTTATCAAATCAGCCCAAACTGCTATTGCACAACCACAGTTGATTTGTCATTTGTTGAACCTGGATGTTCAGGCCTAAAATAGGTAGGCAAACAGGCATTTATTTGTATAGGGCATGAAAAAATACATTTATTATGGGTTAAGTAGGATGCAGAAGGTGTGTAAATGAAAAATCACATTCAAAAGGAATTATTATAAAAAAGTTATTCATACTTTAAATCTAACTCTTAAAATAAACATTAGCTCTTAACGTGTAAGGAAACAATCTTTTGTTTGTAATCTTGATTTCCCACGACCATCAGGTATGATGGCTACGAATTAGTTTTATTCGCAACGTTGGCTCTTCAAAATGCTTTTTTAGACTCCCTTTTTAATCTTGAAATGGCATCAGTGAAAATGGATATAAATTTTTTGTTTTTCACACTTGTGTAATCAAGGTCATACCCAAAAGTAGGATGGGATTCTTTGTGAGCTATTAAAGCCTTATGGCATCAATGGGGAAAGAAAAAAGAAAAAGAAAAAGAAGAAAGAAAGAAAAAAAAAAAAAAAGAAAGAAGGGGAAAAAAAAAAAAAAAATAATAAATAATAATAATAATAATAATAATATAACACAACCTCTGCTTCTACAACAAGACAAAACATCAAACCATACCTTCATGTTGCCGTAGGCTTGCGTTGTATATCATGCTGGATCAAAATCTCTGCCAGGAGACAAAAAAGCAAAAAATTATGTAAATGGCAGAAAAAGGCAATAATGGGCAAAATGAAAATCTAATCAAAACCCTAAATACAATTGAGTGGTTCCAATTGTCAAACGTCGTGAAATGGTAATAATAACTAAAAGACATTTTGTCAAACTTCCGTGCCCTAGTTACTGGTGTTAAATTTAACACCTCTCCTATGAAATGAATTTGATGAAACTTCAATTTGATCCATTAATTCTTAATTGAATCTAAATTTGGAAAACGATATATAAGTAACAATATATATTAGAAAACGAAACAAACCAGCAACTGCAACTTGTAAAAAAACAACAAAAATATTTCCATGGCAACTTTAAAAAGACCATGCAAATGTAAGACCACACATCTTCACGCTATACGTGGAAAAGTCGATATGCAAGCAATTTTTTTTTGTGAAGTTCCATTTCTCATCTCTTTACATATGAGGAGTCTATAGAGAGAATTTATTGGACTTTTGATGAATACACAATACATTATACCCTAGCTTTAAGAAAAAATGGAAGCCTAAAGGAAGTTCTTTTGTCTGTTTGATCATGGAACAGGATGATTGATTATGCGACATCTGAAGAGTGCATCGTAACCTGATTTTCAGCACTCCCAAAAGATGTATCTTCAATATGAAATCCAGGCACTACCATTTCACTACTATTTACAAGGAGATGTACATAGATATCCAAGATTTTTCTCTGTGCAAAAGAAAGTTTTGTGAAGACAGGATGTTGGTGTACCAAACTGGTTATCTGTTACAGTGCTGACAAAGAGCTACAATGGGTAGTAGCTGCTAAGGTGCAAACGCACTACCACTTTTGTCTCATCTGCAATTGGTATGCTACAACTCCCTAGACACCATGATGAAAGGTAAAAAACAAAAACAAAACACACACACACACACCTGCCAGTAAGTGTACCGACAGAAGGAACCTAAATGTCAATTCTCAGATTTTTTTAATATACATATGTGGACAGTGAAAATGGTAAAGGAAGGTATTTCTAAAAAGAATCTTCTCAAAAAATTGTACACCTCTGAAATGTATGAGAATTAGAAGCAATGTGAAAAGTTTTATCTTCTTACAAAAATTTCAGCTAGTTCTAATATTAAAGAAGCTTAAGAGACAACTAGGTCACTGTACTAGAACATCAGTCATAATACTATAACTTTTCTTATAATACTAATTTCCATTTCAAACTGAAATATTTATGATTAGATAAGCTTTTAACACTCAATACAGGAAGGATAATTTTATGGATTAGAGATGTACTATACAGGTTTAGATTAAGGTCTGACCACTGAATTCACAAACCAAATACCAAAGTAATAAAAATGGTTATATTCATTTATAACTAGAAAGATCTATGTTTTCAAGAAATTATCTGGAAAATGAACCACAGTGCTCTGTGGCTCTAATATCCTGTATTCAAGTGACATTTCCACATTTTGAATAGATGCACAGAAATCGAAATGAAGTGATTGAAAAGGTGATCTCAGAAAATTATTACATCTGTCGATATTTGAACAATTTTCTCATATTAAATGAAAATCAATACCTCAGAGGTCATCAAAATCAATAAGACTTGCTTAAATTCCAATCTATTCAAAAACTTTTTCTGAACACTGAAGTTCATGATTGGATCTCTCCTCCAGCTAACATTGTGAACACCACAAATGGTCAAATATTTATATTTGTCAGACATTCTTCATATAATACTAATAAAGTTAGAATCACTTACATCTATCTTTATTAATACATTTTTCTTTATTTTTAATCAGATATGTGCTGTGATGGCTCAACAATATTGGCGAGATTTTAGTTTGAGTTCCGGTGGTAGCAGATTTTCAACACCTGCTTGATATATGGGTTGAATTCAACCACTGGCTGGAGGAGAATTCTAGTGATCAGTAGTTTTCCATGGTTTCTTTGATCAATACCAGGCAAATGCAGAAGCAGTACTTTAAGAAAGGCCATGGACCATGTGTGAATTTTGCTTCTCTCATACTTGTCCCTCTCCTTTCCCTTTACATACAAGCGCTACCTTACCTGTAGGGAGCTTGTCTCATCTGGGGTGAATATCCATTAAAGGGGTTTTATGTTCATGGTTTTTTATAACATCTTAGCTAGACTGCCATCAAATTTGCCAAACCACCATGAAGCATGTGGTTGCCCTAGCTGAGCCCAGCTTTTGTCTTTATGGAACTAGGGACTCAGAAATCTGAAAGCTGATACCAGCAATTCACGTCAATGCGCATTTAAAATGAATGCAACAGTAAATCCAGAACAGGTTTGAAGGCAGTTAAATATTTTGAATAAATATCCCTTGTTGAAACAATAAAAGGCCAGAAATGAAATAATAATTTATGTTTCTTCATTGATTTTTTTGGGCTAGAAACCAGTAACATATAAAACGAATAAGTTTCAAAAGCTTCAAGGTATAATGTAAAATGATTAATAAGTGTTTGTTCACAATGTTTAAAAATAAACATTGGAAAAATGTTTATTTCTCAATATTAATCAATAAATAAAAATTATAATCAAACAGTCTTTATAAAGTGACAGTATTTGAAACTACTGAAAAATAAAGATCAAATAAATGAACACTTAATACAAATTAACACCCAATAGCAATTGATGATATCTCCTCCACATAGTATGTGCCCTTTTATTTTAATTATGGAAGACATTGTTATTAACTTGGAAATACTGCGATGAGAATGTCCTTTTAGATATAATGTAATATTAAATTACACTCACATGTAAGAAAACCTTATGATTTGCACTAAGTTATGGGAAGTAGTCACACTGTTTCACAATTGAGAAGAATCTAGAGTTGATAAATGATATGCAGACAAGTTAGGGCACATGTTGTAACCTCTTGCAATCAACTTTCTCCAACTGGACAAGTGGTCGCAACTGCTCTGCAAAACTGCGCATGTCCTCTGCAATGGCATCTTGACCACTGGGAGCCAACACACTCAACTCAACCAAGTAAGATTGAGATAGAGCCTCCATATTATCCAAAGGTTTTCCTTGCCCAGACTGTACACAAAAGTATTATAAATAAAAGTACTGTATTTAAACAAAAAATGTATTATACATATGGTCAAGAAGATATTCATTTTTCAAAAGAAAGAATAACTAATTATAATTCACCTTAAAAATTTTTGAAACTGTAATCTTCATTCGGCCTTTACGGAACATGTAACCTCGGACAATGTATTCAAAATCCATGCGACATCCCAATTCTGTAAGGAATTCCACAACAGTTGCACTTGTCCCAATATCAATGCTATTACGTACTATAGTAGGCCTTGATTTGTCACCTGAAAACAAAACAACATATTTTACAATTCCGAAAATGGATTGCAATACATATAGAATTGAATTCCATACATCCTAAGAAATCTAATCAAAATTAAGATATACGTTAAAAGCAATGTAAAATGCTATAAAAAGAAAATAATTTTGTGAAGAAATACAAGGAGAAAAAATTGCTTCCTTTATCATTTTTCTTCTAATTTTGTTTAAAAAAATGTGAAAATATTCTAAATGAGCTAAGTAACAAAATTGACAAAAATAATTTATGACCATTGAATGTGCAAATGACAATGTACCTGTAAAAGTTCTGTGTCCGAGCCCTTTGAAAAAGTTCTAATTGTCACTCACAGATGGTGCTGGGCACATGTCCACATGTCCAGGATGTTTAGATATTCTACACGTGTTTTAGTGCCAATTCTATTGATGAATATAACAGAATTGCATTCTATACTGATTTGTTTAATAAAGAATCGGACATAGCTCATTTAGAACAACACTGACCATTACAGTTACCTCTTTTCTATTTTTTCAACACAGTTTGTTTTTTAACAATTTCAATATATTTATGCAAATAGTCTTGCATGATACTGTAAACAACCATGTTTTACATTTATATAAATTTTTGTAAAATAAAATCTTGTAAAACACGGAAGGTATGACATTTCATTTAATTTACTCAAAATGACAATTTTGGCTTTAAGTTCATACAGAATTTCCATGCCTAATTTGTTCTTAGAAAGACTATTTCAAAACAATTTCACAATATTGGCAGTATTTCTTTAGTATATAACTTTTATTAACTTTTATTTCTTTCTACTTAGGACAACGATATTAACAACGGTAAAAAACATGACCTCTTGAAATTTCTGGCTTTTAAAGACAGAAAAAAGAAATTATAGTTATATTCAAGAAGTAAACTGTTTGTATTTACAAACATTTATTGACAATTTTCTCACATTATTGAATAAGATTAAGTCTCATCAATTAATTAAAAAATCAATTCTCACATATAGCACAACATATTTAAATTACAAGTAAATGAGGTCTCAATAATTACTTAACTAATTATTAGAGCCTGGAAGTTGAGGCATTTATTTTACTTAAAATATGCAAGCAAAAAAGCATTTATTCTAGCTAAAGTTGAGGTGCAAAAAGGCTTGTGAACAATGAAAACTCACATGTAAAAGGAATTGTACAAAATAAATAACGAAAATTATTTAAACTCTAAAATTTACATTAGCACTTGACAAGTAAGCAAACAATCTTTTCTTTTGAATCTTGATTCCGGATGACCATGCACCACAAGGTGGCTATGAATTATTTTTTCTAGTGAAACTGTCTTTTCAAATTGCTATTGTGAACTCCCTTTTAAATCTTTAAATGCCATCAGTGAAAACGGAATTATATTTTTCATTCTTCGCAACTTGTGTTATTGCCAATAGTGAGGAAGGTATGTCATACACAGAGAGCTGTCCGCAAAAGGATCGGTGGACGCACTTAAAAGGGGAATGGGAGTGCTCATTAGCAAACAAAGTCTCATGGCTTCAATGAAAAAATAAAACATCTTGATTGGTATCATCTTTCTTTTTCATTTAGATTTTTATTACAGCATCTGCTTCCAGAGAAAGACAAAACACGACTCTTCGAGTCGTACACACACATGTATGCACATGCGCACCCTCACAAAACTTGCTTACTATCGGTGTCAGGAAAAAAACAAAATAATGAGAAGGCAAAAATAAGGCAAAATGGAATCAGAGCTAAAATAAGCAAAATTATTCAAATTAACACTTATCTCATATTTTTTCAGTACAGTACTTTTATCCATCACTTTACTCTTACTGTATCAAACAGTGAAATTTAGAATAGACGTATTAGTTAGTTTTCTCAAAGGAATATTTGCCACTAAATTCATTTTAAAATTAGCATTACATCCAAACACAATTTTGAGAACATCTCAGTTTTGTGCAAGTGTCAATTAAGCATACTTTTTGACTACAGTCAGCAGAGTTGAGTGAAATTCTTTGTAAATAAGTATTTAAATACATACTGAAAATACAATAATTTTGTATTATAAATTTTTTATTGCAACAAAATATTGTACTTGTCAATTACAATGACATAAGCTGGCACACAAAGATGAGAGAGAGACGGGAAGAGAGAAAAAGCGGAGAGAGAGACGGGGAGAGAGAGACGGGGAGAGAGAACGGGCGAGAGAGAGACGGGGAGAAGAGAGACGGGAGAGAGGAACGGGAGAGAGAAAGGCGAGAGGAGAGGGAGAGAGAGACGGGAGAGAGAGAGAGAGACTGGGAGAGAGAGACAGGGAGAGAGAGAGAGAGACGGGGAGAGAGAGATGGGGAGAGAGAGAGACGGGGAGAGAGAGAGACGGGGAGAAGAGAGAAGACGGGGAGAGGGAGAGAGAGGGAAAGAGAGGGGAGAGAGAGGAGAGAGAGAGAGGGAGAGAGAGAGGGAGACGGAGAGAGATGGAGAGAGAGAGGTAGTCAAATATAAGTATTTAAATACTGCCCAACCCTAGTAGTTGGAAGGGAAAATGTACATGTGCATTACAATCTAGTTTCTACTATTAACTATTAATTTTATTGACTCTCAAAAATCACTGCATGAAAGTATTCACAATACAGGTATGCAATACAGATAAATTTGCTATTCAAAGAATGATGGGGTAGTAAACCACCATGTATTCCATTATATCAAGAGAAGTATGAAATTACATAATTCTATAATCATATCTAAAAATTTTGAAGTTGACCACACATGTATAATTTCTGGGACAATGCAGACAGTAATAGCTTCTTCGTGAGGTCCATTTGAATTTGCATATATTAAGGCCTGGCATAAAAAATAAATGTCATAGAAACATACTACAAATGAGGGGTTTGTTTTTCTACGTTTGTATTTAAACTTTGTATCATATGTTATTCATGAGAGTCATGAAGGTGCTGATATCCAAAAAAGTAAATATTACATTGATTTCATATTGTGCCTCATAGTAGATTTAATTGCAGTTTATGACATGGAGGATGTGCCAAGTGTTGCCCTTTTCCTTTTTCCATTGTAGTGCCATTTAAGTAAAAGTAGTTATAAGGTGAAAGAGTGTTCTGGAAATTGTACTATTCCCTTAAAAATAAATACCCTTATTGTGAGGGAAGTTTATAAATCAATGTATGTGCTGAAGTGAAAGTGCTGGTATGAACCATGTTCTCCAAGTTAAAGCTATAAGTCTTTTGCAAGGATAGCATGTTGGACACTTTAGAAAACAATGAATGTTAAGTGTGTTGCAAACCACTTTGTGTCAAAATGAGTTGAATATAAAATAGGATTCTCTTGAAAATGACATCTGACAAGAAAATTTTTAGATCAGAATTGTGTTTACAATTTTATGAATTTGGTAGTTTATGAGAGGTAACTGAAAATGTTCATTTCTTCCTAATTTATATATTAGTGAGTGATTAGTGAGTTATTTATTAAGAATAGCTTCTTCTAGGGTTTACTTCAAATTGCAGTAAAATTTCTTTAATTGGAAATCTCTGAATAGTAAACACCCCTAAATTACAGACATTTTAAAATTCTCTGGCAGAACTACACGTGGTTTAATAACAATATTTTTCAATAAGTCCCTCATTATTGCAATTTCTGAATTATTATTTCTACTGGTGCACAAAGAAGGGAATGTGAGAGTGACAAGTGAGAAGACTTACTCAAAGACAAATTTTGCCAATTTTTTTCATGCTAACAAGAAAACCGGGTTTCAGCTGTGATTGTCATCTGCTGAAGTTATACCAATAGCATGAACTGTTTAATGGTATGGATGTATGTTTCTGAAGAGCAAACATTAGACACTATCTTTGTAATTATATTGAAGCATGTATAATGTGTATTACAGAAATGCAAACAGTCTAAGGAGAAAATGGAAGTCTTCAGTATCTAATAGGAAGAAAAATAATGCTCGAGACATGGGCATGCATTTTGGTATTAGAGTTTCTCACTTGAAACACACATAAATAGGATACAACTTAAAGATTCAGAAAAAGACAGATTTTAGGCAATCTGTATCTTATCAAAAACAATTAAGGGCTTACTGAAAAGGTAAGTACATTGAAGTTTTCAGTGTCTATGAATTGTTCCCTGAAATTTGGAATATAAAACATTACATTAGTGAAGTAATATTCTTTTGTGAAACATCTGAGCATTACTTCTGAATAGAAGATGCTTACTTTAAATGTTGAGTACATTATTAAGTCATTTAACTGTACGTTACTATGTAAGAGTTGTTCTACTTGAGGTGACAAGACCTTGTAGAGTTCTCTACTTACAGGCAGCATTCATGGTGAGGTCTGCTATTTTCTAAATTCTAAACCAGTTTCTGAATAATTTAAATGTATTGTGAAATGTAAAATAATGATTTGATTTATTCACTTTGAATCAAAAACTTTCTTAATTTTCCAAAGAATTTTGAAATTCCCAAATTTCCAGCGATTTCAAAACCCCTGACCTTTTCAGGATCTTTAGGACAGCCAATATATTTTTAATTTATGTTTGGTAAAAAAAATACTGCATCTCACCAATCTCTGGCTGACCAATGTATCTCAACTGCCAGGGCATATCTTGGTAGTCCAAAGCTCTTCGCACACGTAATAATAATGGCTGCATGGAGCCTGCGCCTCCTTCAACAAATGGCATAACCCTCTCCTAAGTATCCAAAATATAAGAACAAAATTAACACCAACTCTGTAAATCCACACATACTTATACTAAAACACATTTCATGATCATAGAACGGTTCTGGCCCGCTATCTACGTTATCACATAATCCCCTCAGCCTGTGCAAAAGAACTTCCACAGCTGAATCCATAACACTGCCTTGTAAGAGGTACTCTTGATTAGGTATAATGTTACGGGCAGCATTAAGACTTTCCGTTGCAGTGCTCACAGGCTGCGACACGTTCTCAATCTAGAAAAGATGTAATTCAATTAACCACAATTACTGACCATAAACATGGGGTATGGGGTGTTAGCAGCAAGTGCTTGGGCATTCGGAAAAATGAAATTGTACATACCATTTTCAAGGCAACGAAAGTCACTCAAATTTATACAAACTCAAATGTATACGTTCGCGTTCACCAATTGCACACACACTATTGCCTGGGCATTATTGTTTTAGTAATACAAGACCCTTATTTCCATTGCTCTTATAATCGGTAATCAGTGTCGCTCGACGCAGACTACGTCGTTCGGCATTTGTTACCCAATATGTTGAATACAAACTGTGGTACATTAAATTAAAAGTAGCAAAATAAATTTTCGAAACATTTTGGAGTATCCTGTTTCTATTTTCTTTGTGTATTAATTAGTAAACACACATTTAAATAATAAAAGTGACTCTTTGTTCGTGTAATAGCAGGATAGTTTAATTATTGGTAACTTACAGTGAATATTCGAAAATGTTGGCACTACTTGCCTACCTTCCGAGCCAGCACAAAGGCGCGTTCTTGAATAACGATATTTATTCTTCAAATATTAAATCCCAATTGCTCATAAACCTCTAACAATAAAAATACTTACATAATTAACTTTTGTCTTCATTCTCATTTTAAAGATATTCTATATTCTTAATGCATTGCTTCTATACAGTTAGAGATGAGACTGGTCACAAAAAAAGAATTATTTCAACAATGATATTTAATGAATTAGGTAACATTGTGCAGTATAATTTGAAAAGACCACACATGCCTGCGAAAAGTAATGTAATTAAACTTTTGATATGATGAAACTCAGTTCAAGCAGTTTTTTTGTTCGGTTTTTCTGATCCATTTAATAAATGCATTGGATTGCCATTGTCCTGAACATACATGTAGCATCATTACGCACGTTCTGTTGAGTTTTCCTTTTGATAGTTGTGGTATGAGTAGAGTTGGGAATGTAAGTTGTTATTTTGTTAGAAGTACTATTAAATCAAAACTGTAGTTAGTTTACCAGTGCAATTCTGTTCTAAGTTTTCTATAACTTGGGAAGAAAAAAATTTACTTTTTTAATGTTGCTAACTTCACTTTGTTTATACTTATTATTACTTATGATTATTCTTTAATTTGCATGGAAAAGGATGGGGAAGGTACACTGAAACTCAAGAAAATATGCACAAGTTATATTTCCTCCAAAAAGTCACTTTCAGTTTTTACTGTTTCTTGTCAAAAATAAATAAAAAAATTAAATCACAATTATTAATATCAAGATCTGTATCTATCTCTGAACAAACCAAATTATACATTCAATATCAGGTTCCTGCACTTAAATCACAAAGTAAATAAGCAATATCGTTATCATCATCATGTTCTGCAGGATGAAAAATCGTGATTAATAAGAAAAATTATTGAAATATATTCACAACAGTAATTTGACAAATTAATAACAATTATATACAGCTTTAATTGTTATTGAAAATATTTATAAGTAATTGTTAAACAAATTAAATTTTAAATATCAGTTCCTGAAAACTGTTTACTGAAAAATTAGAATACTTTACTTTACTTTTACTTACATTAGAATATTTCATAATGTTTATTTGCAAAAATTGTTTTTACAAACCAATGAATGTTTATTTTTTTCAAATTTGGAATATTTTCTACTTACAAGAAAGAGTTGTTGAATTTTCTTGGGGTTATTTATTATTTATCTTGTAGGAACCAAATATTTTAATTTTCAGTAAAGTTCCATATCTGTCTTCTTTTATTACAGTTTAAACGGAAATTTTTGTATTTACTTTCATGAGGAAGTCCATGGCCTTCAAGAGTTTCCTGCACTTTACAAGATACTGAGATTACAATAAAAGTTAATAGAGGTGCACGACAGCAAGGTGAACAAAAGCACCAGACAGACAAATAGTAACTGTAAGGCACTCAAACATTTATAATTAATATATTTCAAATAAAGCCAACTCCAGTTATAGTGAACTTCTAGGGATCAATATTTTTGATTCATTTTATCAGTAGTTCACTGTATTTAATAATCCCAAACTATAGGAGATTTACGACACATATTAAGGTTATTATTTCAGAGTTACTATAGTAAAATATCCAGTGGCCATAAATTCAAAATTTCAAAATCTTTTTAATTTCATCACATTTTGTTTTACATTATCCAGTCTGGTAGTCTTAATTCAGTCTTTACATCCTTCAACGTCCCTTGCATGTTGGAGTACTTTATTCATTTCACTATCTTCTTCACCATGACATTTTTATTTTTCTGTTCTGAAAGACCTTTTCAACATATCCACATTGTCCTAGCTAGTTTGATATTCACTGGTTTTCAATTTGTGAATGTTCACTTTCATGAAGTCTTCGGACTGGACAGATGTAACAATGATCTATCAACTGAAGCAATCCTCTTCTTGACATACATTTTTTTCAGTAAATACAAAAAGTAACTTGACATAAAATTTTTCCTTTGCAAATATTTAGAAGTATGTATTTGGGATGAACTTTCCCACCTGATTCTTGGAAGGTTAAAAGAACCATCCTAGAGAGGATTTCATTTATAGCGAACTTAGTCATTTACATGCAAATTGACGAAAGTTGAAATTTTTTTGGGGTAATAAAATAGTTAAAGAATAATATTATAATTATATAATATTAAATTCTAACAATTAAGTTTCTCAACTTTAAGTTTATTAAATTAAATTAAATTACGTTTCAAAATAAATATTAATTTAGTTTGAAAAACCTTCGAGAGTGGATTTAACCACAAACCTGTCCTAAATTTATGCCACTGGCATTAAAGTAATATTTTCAGTAATGTAACTTTGCATGCATAACTTGCTTTCAGTTTTCAAGTTAATTCATTTTACACAAGAATAGAATACCACAATCATAATTTTCTATATCTATCTTCATCTCTGTCTTATATCAAAACAACTTTCAAGTTTTGGAAAAAAATGCACACAGCTATCTTAATGCTGTATTTGAGAAATGAAATGAGGACCACATTTACGATTCTCCTCTGCATCGCCAGATCAAAGGTGTTGTGTGAGTTTATCACTAAGATTAAACATGTTATTTCCATGATGACAACATTTATGTTTACTGTATTAAATTTGTGTGCAACAAATTCCCATTTTGGCTTTAAAATTTAATCGATATCAAGTAAATTGTACTTTCTTGTACCTACATACTTGCATGTTTGTATATGCAAAATAATGTATGTAGACGAAAGATAGTTATGTAATGCTGCAGAAAATGATTTTAAGAATTTAATGAATACACATTTTGGGGCTCCCTGATGTTTGAGAATGTGCTTTTTTTTAAAAATCTGTCAATCTGTGAACAACCCTAGTGTCTAAACCATTAGAAGGATTTGTTCAAAAAGAAATATTCCCCAATTGATCTGGCCCAAGTAAAACAAGCAATTTAGAAAATAATTCTTTAAATTTTGGAGATTCTTTATACATTATTATCATAAATGCTACAATATTAGCTCACGAGATCCTCTACCTGCAAAACTGGTGATGTTATACGAATTTACAGTATTGAGGTGAATTTTTTTGTTCAAAAGTCGTATTTACTATGTTCACCAAGACTGACGTTGAGAGTTCCAAATCTTCTAGTGCTTATTTATTGAGTAAGTGAATTAAATTGGGACCAGTGACTTCAATTCACTGAGTTCACTATATTAAAAGGACATTGAGTTTTTATGTTACCGTATGCATGGTTTCTTTTCTCTGTTATTTACTCTTTTCTTAGTGTTTTGCCATGATCTGTGTTATAAATGTTGTTTTATTGTAAGTTATATTTTCTTATAATTCTGGACTTTTAATAATAATATCAAATTTATGTCCAAAGTACTGTAATTTACCATGTTGTATGGTATACATTGATTAATTAATTTGACATTCAATTTCTTAGTCTTATTTATTATCTAAAGTTGTGTGTTTGGTCTAGAGAACAATACATATACCTATGAAGATAAAAAATGTTATCTTTATTAGTGGCTTGCTGACCAAAAAACTACATAAAATGAAGATCAAGAATAAGAAATAAATTACTCTTATGTTACAAACAATAAATTAAATAGTCAAACAAAAACCATCTCAATGTATACTGCAATCACATACTATAGTTGAATATCAGTACAATAGTTTTTACATACCAAACATTTAAAAAAGTAAATGTTACTTAACAGAACACATGAATAGCAAAATATTTAATGACATGCAGCTTCTTCCTGAGAGCCTTGTGGTTGCATAACATCGGATGTGCCAGAAGCAGTAACACACTGAGAATGAGAATTTATTCAGTACAGGCAACATGAGAATAGGAATAGAATAATTAAATATTTGCATTTTTCAGTCAAAGTCAAAACTGTTTTTCCTGAGTTCCTGGATAAACCATAAAACCATTTGAACCTCTCATATGTTCAGAGGCTGCGTAGTTTTTTTTCTCTTTACTTACTTCTACACTTTTCCACAGAGAGGTTTATAAAACCTTTAACATCACACTGCTTTATTTGCTGTCTTGGCTAGGGATATAATTAGTATTGTAAGATATGGAAACAAGCCAAAAGTCAGAAATTATTTATTATATTTCTGCTGTTTAATTTTATAGCATTTAATTCTCAAAACTGAAAATGGTACTATTCTTGGTGTAAAGAAATATAGTTATCCTCATATCTGTTAATATCAATCTATGGTTTTTATTTATTTGATGCAGTAAGATTTTATCTGGTGAGTCCTTGTTTGAAGTCCTTTCTTCGGGCTCCAGGTTTACTCTGGTAATCTCCAGGTTGTTTCATTATTTTATTTATTTTACATAATAATAATTATTTAATAATACTTTTAATAGAGAACATTTAATTCCTTATTATCTTAAATGAGTTCAACTTATTCATTCCAAGTTCTTATTTTATGTTGCTTTCCAAAACTATTGCACATCAGATTAATTAGATAGTAAATGACACGTTCTGGCTGCAATGGAAGAGATTTGAAAAGGTCCAATAAAAAGTGTATGGTATAAAAAAATCTGTGTTACTACAGATATCCTTACACCTAGAAGGACGTATTGTGTGTTTGCGAATACACAAAAGTTATTATTCTCTAAAAACTGATTTGATCAAAGATGCATATGTATTTAAGTCCTGCATTTTTGCTCAGATTTTGAGTGAACTTGCTTATCCAAGATATTTCAAGATAACCCAAGATATTCCTGTGGCTTCAAAAATATTCAGTTAATCATTTTATTTGTTGGCTTACTCAATAAATTGATTAATGTTTACATAAATTTGAATTTCATACCAG